ATAATTCAAATTAATAACAATACTGAAGTTTAGCCCATTAAGTTAGATGTAAAGGACATACAGTACATCGCGCCAATGTAAAGGAGGAGAAAGATAGAAAACCTTGGTATTATGATATCTTACAATACTTAAGGAATTAGTAATACCTATATTAGGCAACAAGGAATGACAAAAGAGTTTTGAAGAGATTGGTTATGGATTCTTCTTAGACAAAAAGGTCTTTTATAAAAAAAAGCATAGATTAGGTATTATTGTAGTCTGTAAATATAGCAAAAGCAAAAATATTATTAAAGATGTGCATGACAGGATGTGTAAAATACATGTAAATGGACACATGATGGTAAGACAGATTATGATAACTGGATATTACTGGTTAACAATGAAAAGTAATTACATTAATTATACTCAAAAATGTCAAAAATGTCATATTTATATTGACAAGATCCATGCTTCAATCATTGCTTTACATGTTTTGGCACCACCTTAGCCATTTTCTATGTAGCGCATAGATGTCATGGGTCTCATTACCCCAAAAGCATCAAACAAAAATAGATTCATCTTCATGATGATTGATTACTTCATTAAGTAGGTTAAGTCAGCTTCTTATACAAATGTGACATAATCAGTAATCTACAAGTTTACCAAGAAAAAATAATCTATAGATATAGACTCCTGAAAAAGATCATCTCAAATAATGCTAAAAATTTAAACAGTAAAATGATGCAAGAAATATGTGTTTAACTCAAAATTAAACACCATAATTTAGCACTATACCACCCAAAAATGAATGAAACAGTAAAAGTTATGAATAAGAATATCAAAAGGATTCTAAAAAAAATAACTAAGATGTATAGAGATTGGCATGAAAAATTATCTTTTGCTTTGCATACCTATCAAATGTCAGTACATACCTCTATTGAGATAACTCCATTTTTCTTGGTTTATGGGATGGAGGTTGTTCTACCGATAAAAGTAAAAATTTCGTCTTTGAGAGTCTTAAAAGAAGTGGGATTAAAATAAGCTGAATGGATTCAAAAGCACTATGAGCAACTAAATGTCATTGAAGAAAAGAGACTAGCAACACTACGTCATGGTCAACTATACCAAAGAAGAATGATGAGATCTCATGATAAGAAAATTCGACCTCATCAACTTCGAGAAGAAAAGTTAGTGTTGAAAATGATCCTCTTAAATCAACATGATAATAAAAAAAAATGGACTCCTAATTGAGAAAGGCTATATGTTATAAAAAAAAGCTTTTTTCGAATGAATATTAATCTTAACAGAGATGGATAGAGATGATCTCCCTTATCCTATAAACTCTGATGCTGTGAAGTACTTTGCTTTAAAAAAATGAAAATTCAAATTAAAAACCCAATAGGGCAATTTGAACTAAAAATGGGTTTATCCAAGTTGAAAACCTAAAAAGGTGATTTGGATAACGAAAGTATGACATCACAATAATTGGTGTGTTCTGAAGAACTCTAAGGTGGTAAGGGCATTGTATAGTTGAGTTTTGGAAAGAAATCCGATATATGTTGTCATAATTATCTTATTGTTTATCTTGAGGCATTGTTATCCCAAATAGCCACTTTGTATGCCTTTATCTAGTCCAGTTACAAAAATTAGTCCTAATAAGCCATCATTTATAATCTGGTTTTTGTCTCCAAGTAAATGATATTCATTTCATTCTACCTATATTTTACTTTCAATCCTTGCCTTTTCTTTTTGTATTTAAATGCTTTGAAATGAATAAAATAAATGTATAATTTGCATCTTATATTTGGAGATTAAAATAATGATTAATAATTGAATAATGTCTTAAGAGATTGTATATTACTTTGGGAAAATTGAAAGAAACAAGGGCAAATGATGAAACCCTCAAAATCTGATAACGACATTGGTTCTGAAAACTCCTTTAAAGAAGAAGAAAAATGCCTATAATGAAAAATGAAACTGATTTTGTTCCCTTTGCTGAAAATTTGAAGAGTTTGAAGTACCAAAAAAAAAAAAATCTTTGAGAACTTTAGTACCACAATAGGAAATTCATTTAGTGACATCTAGGCATTGGCATTAGTTGGCATTTACATCTTAAACAAAGCATGGGCATTTACATCCAATTTGAATAATCAATGTCATTTGCTACATTTGCATCATTTGCATTATCATCTATTGCATACAAAATTTTGATTTTGGGGAAAATTTTTCAAACCTATGATTTCGATAACATTTTCTACATTGTGGGGCCTTTATTTTTTAAAACCTCCAAATATGATCTATAAAACTTTCAGTTATGATTTTTTTAAAAAATTTGTGGTTATCTTCAACCTTGATTCAGTTCAAGTCATTTTATTTTTTTGACATGCGGTTCAATCTCGATCACTCATGTTCGTCCTTGGCTCAATCCATGTCATTTTATATTTCTAACTTGCGATTTAATCCCAATCACTCATTTTCGACTTCAGCTCAATCTAAGTTATTTTATTTTTTTGACTTTCGGTCTAGGTTTTTTTTTTTTTTTGCTTGCCACTTAATCCCAATCACTTATTTTCGACTTCGACTTGATCCAAGTCATTTTATTTTTTTGATTTACGACTCAATCCCTGTCATCTTTATTTCTTTATTTTGACATACTTCGATCACTTTCGACTTTGATTCAATTAAGTCATTTTCACATTCTAATTTGACTTTGTCCAATATCATTTTAACTTTGAACTTTGACTTGATTTCTCAGAGCTAGACATAATGACTGTTTATGTCTTTCTCTTATTCTTGTTTCATAGGAATGCGCAAAAAAAAACAACTGTAGACACTCATTTTTGTCTGAACTTGCATTTGATTTCTCGATTTTGATCTTATCGAGATCGTTAGGCTTTAGGGTGTTTTTTTTTTTGTTCTTTGGGCCCGAACTTATCCTTGTTCATGTTTAGGCTCTTAGCCCAAAATAAGGTTTTTATTTTGTTTGGGCTTTGAGCCCACTAATCGTTACATAGACACGGGCTTTGGCCTAATAAACATTTTGTTATTATTATGTTTTTTAATTCCATCTGTATGTTTGATTCTCTAATAATAATAATAATAAAGGAAAAAAAAATCAAGTCACAATTTTTTGGGAATCCCGTATGTAAATCGGGCTAAAAAGGTTTGAAATTTTCATCTACATAAAATTGGAAACCAAAATCAAATTGATACAATTGACCATAATCGAATCAGAATGAAATTCCAATAGTCAAGCCTTAATTGAATATGTCAAAACCCTAAAACTTTTGTTAAAAAATGACTATAAATCACGTCCCGGCACACAAGGAAAAAGGAAGATCCAAAAAAAATTCATTCACAGATACGATTTCTGACGGAGTTTTATTTTTTTCTTTTTTTTGAATTCTTTATAGATTTTAGAAGTGGGAGGATTTATTTTGGTTTAGGCAAGATTGTCAGAGGTAAATGAAGGTTTATTGGGTGTCTTTAGGTTGCTTTCTAGAATTTTCAGATCTTGTTGAAGTTTCCAACGAAGTTTTTTCCGATCCCAACGATTTTTCTACGACATTTCCTAATTTTCGATGCACTTTTCCAAAAATCCATGAAAACTCAATCGGTGTTGATAGGGTAGAGAGAGATAAAAAACAAAGGTGTTTTAGAAAGAGACTAGTTTTGACATTTTGAGAGAAAAAAAACTTAGGATTTTTATCCCTGCGTAAAACGACACCATTTTTAGGATTCCTAAATACCCAAGATCTGCTCATTTTACCGCATTCCAACCCGACTTGCAACCCCATCCGACCCTGGCCCACATCCCTATTGGTCTGAGCCAAGCCACGTCTTTAACTAACCCTCTTAAACCACACCACAGCTATTCTCCCTTCTTGTGTGTGAAGCCAAGCTCCACGCCCAACAACCTTCCGAACCAACTTCAAGTATATTTTATTTATTTAACTGTTTTACTTATTCATTTATTTATCTATTCATCTATTTTTTAAAATATATAAATATTTTTTATTTTAAATATATATTTTTTATAAAAAAATATTTAAATAAGAATCTTACCAACATCTTAGAAAGCCAATACTTTTCAAAAATAAAATTTTATCAACATATTGAAATCTTACAATTTCTTAAAAAATCTAATTTTAAAAAATAATAATAACAAAACAATATCTTTTATGTTTTTGCATAAAATCCTAACAACATATTAAAAAATAATTTTTAACAAAAACTCTTACTAATAAATTGAATGACATTTCTAACTATAAACCTAATTTATAGATATTTATTTCCAAAAGCAAAACTAAATGAATCTAATGACAAAATCACTTCAAAATATGATAAATAATCTCTTTAAATACTCTTGAGATGAAAAAATATTCTTAAATTATTATCAACATATTAAAAAATTTTAAAAAAATTTTTAATATTAAATTATTTAATAAATATTAAATATATTTTAAGACTTTGATCACTTGAAATCAAACATGTACCATTTTTTAGATAAGTGCTATGATATTATTATAATCTTCTTCATATATAACCGTACTCCTAAATCTAAATTTTGATTTTGTGAACTAAAATCCACTATTCAAATATACATAAATTAATCTTGAAACTCTTTTTTAAATAAAACAAATTCAATTAAGTGACTAATCACACCTAAACAAAAAAATTTGATGACAACGCCTAAAATCTATCTAGTGATAAGTCAACAAATTATATTTTATGACAAAAATAATTAATTGTTTCCATTCAATCAAGGATCTAACTGAGTGAAAATAAATGTTTTGAGAATTCAATTATATAAAAATAAATATCAAGAAGTTTAACTAATTCAAAATAAGAGATTCAAGATTTGATTGATTGTAATAAAACATCAGTGGTTTAAATTATTATTGAATTTTTGTTTTGAGGATTTTTTTTAACGCTTTTATCTAATCTATACTTAAATTCTTTTATATCATGCAATAGATAAAAAAAAAAAAATAGAACTAGAAAATAGAAAGTAAAACATATAACAAATAAACAAGGATGATACCGGAAGGAACTTATTCCAAAAACAACAAAAGATAATACATTACCACACAATGAACTGATTAAGTTATTATTGGATCATCAAATGCGCAGAAGCAATTTCATCTATCAAAAATTCTAGGTGGTACATCTCTCTCCCTATCACTGCATATCAGAGTAGACTGTATACCTTTCCTTTCATTCTTAGTTTCAAACAATTATTTCATGAAAGAATGGGAAAAGTTCCAAGACATTATTACACAGGAATAATTCCCCAGCTTTAAGGCTAATGAAACTTACTGTGGTGGTATTTTGTGCAGAGATCAGTACTTTTCATGGAGAGGTTCTGCATGCGACTAAGCTTTCTGCTCAACTAGTAGGGAGGCTTTAGCAATTTCTAGTGCCTCCTCGACTGAAGACGCTTTCTGAAGCTGGGCTTTGTTGATGGAAGGCTGGCTCCTTGCAAGTTCTGGAAGGAGTTTGAATTCCTATAACATAACAACATGATGCAAGCTTTATGATGACATAGCACAAAAGATACAGGAAAAAAGATGAAAAGCAAAAATAGCGTCTCAAATTATATCAGACAAGGGGTTTCATGTTTTCAATACTTTTAGCTTTGAATTTAACAACCATTTAAGCAAAGAAGCAGTATAGGACATGTATTTGGTCAAGCCCACATAATACAAATTTTCAAACTTTTGTTGGAAGCCTCTGAATCTAACTAAGGACTGATTCTTCTACTGCATAAAATGCCAAGAGGGATATTATATTGACATCATTGTCTCATAGTATCCCACGGCCTACAATGCCTTGAAAACACAATCTCTTACTGAGGGTTGGTCCTGCATGCAACACAGTGCATCTCCTACTTTCTATTTTAACAATCAACTACATTTTAATTAATACATGGTGAACTTAAAACTGATATCCATATTTAGCTTCCTTTTTCCAAATATTATTGTATTTGTGTTGAAAAGACTGACCTAGATAAAACATATATTTGTTTATAAATATTATTTATTAGGAGTATTAGTTTTGTATGGATACCATTTGTCTAGTTATATCCTAACGCTTTCAGCATCACATTCTCAGTCTCTCAGAGATAACCCACATTTCACATGCTTAGTAGACAGTTTCAACTATTCAGCCAACAATGCTCATTGCAATGGAAATCTTGTAAAAGAAACTACCTCAGCACTTCCACTTTCAAGAAGAACTCCTTTCAATTTACCTGTAATATCATGAAGAAAAAGTTTAATCATTCTTTATGAAAAGCGTAACAGAAAATGGTGAGAGAACAGAGAGAGAGGCTCTTCAGAAGTTCGATTACCAGAATCTATCCAGAAAGTAGCAATTTTTGGATCAAAATTCCCAATCTCGACTGTCTCTCCAACTACCCAAAAAGATTATAATTGTAAATGCTGAAAGTGAGATAAAAAAATTTTATAGGTGATGTTAATAATGCATGTAAAATATATATTCTCACCATTGTCCCCAAAAAACTGCCACCAAACTTTCCTGGGGCTCCCTTCATACTCAAAAACCCTTGAGTAAAAATAAGGCAGATAATCGTACCTGGAAAAAATTAAACAGGTAATGATGCAAATCATCAATGTTTCAGAATGAAAGACAAGCACTGACAGTATATCTAACATCTAGATATTAGGCATGATGAAAGACAAGAGACAGACTGTCACATACATGTGAGTCTGTGCACTAAGTAACGCCTTAACGCAATGCTGTGCAGATCGACGAGCATGATCAACATGTTCAACTCGTGCTACACGGTCATATATCTGTCATGATAAAATGTGTACTTAACAGATCTTGAAAGGAAAAATGGTTATTGATTCGTGAAATGTGTACCTTAAGGGGGAATGCTGCAACATCTCCAACTGCAAAAATTCCAGGTATGCTTGTCCGGAACAGACCATCAACCTGATTCATGTGCAGAGTCATCAATCATCATATACTCCACTAGAGTCTAGAAACAATCAGAATCTCAACTATGGTTATAAGATGAAGGCATGAAACTAAAACACTGGTGGCCAGTGGTGTTTTTACCAATAAAAAATAAGAAATATAGAAAACATGCAAAAATTCATCAAGGTATAATATCTGCTACTAAAATGCACATCTTGGTTACCTGCATAGTACTAGATATATGTATAACTATGCATTAAAAGTTAATAGATGGCATAAATGAGAATATAGTTCAATCAAAAAGTTACAGATAATGCTCACCTGTATGCCACCAACAGTTGCATTTAACCCCACCACTTCGAAGGGAGTAACTGCAGGTTTTGCTCCAATACCAATAATTATCTGCAGAATAATGAAAATATAGGTGAAAGGACCATTTGATTAGTTCTTCCGCCAGTAACAAGTAAGGAAATACAGAAAGAAGTTTTACTTATAGCAGAATGGTTACCGTGTCCGCTTCTATGGTAGATCCATCACCCAGCTTAATAGCAGCTACCCGTCCATCAGAACCAGCTTCCAAGCTTTTGATAGAAACACCCTGGTCAGTGGTCAAGATCAGAATAGTCGGTTCACAGGGTGATAATCAAATTCAGGTGTTCACTGGCTTCTAACAGAAAACTAATTTCAAACAAATGAAATTTGCAGCCACATGGATAGGCAGGTAAATGCATGCATGGTGGAAACATAAGTACACACACATGGATTGTGGGGCGAGAGAGAGAGAGAGAGAGAGAGAGAGGCAGAGCGAAAGTACCTTTAAGAACTTGACACCATTTTCTTTGTACAGTTCTTCATATCTTCGAGCAAGGGAAGGAGTGAATAATCTTTGCAAAAGCTGATTCTCAGGGAAAATTATCTACAGTTCGGAGCAAAAGCAAATTGAATAAATTAAAGCTCAGCAAGTCAAAGAATTTACAGAAAATCACCTAACTTTGAATGCAAAACAGAAGATAAAAGCCTTGCACACTGGCACACACAGACATGTGCGCATGAGTATATGGGTCTATATATGCATGTCTTGAAACATTTTTTTGGCCAATGTCTTGAAACACATTGAAACTTTTCAGTTTTCAGGGTATCAACAGAACCCCCTCTGCTTCCATCTAAAGGACAGAACTATTCTTTTTGGTTGCATTAATGACTGAGCCCATTACATTAACCAAAAGATGATCCAAAACAAAATGAACTCGTACCGTAGTATCGAGTTTCCAGCCAACAGCAGCAGCAGCAACCTCCATTCCAATATAACCACCACCAACAATCACCACCTTCTGTGCCTTCTCCTAAATAATTAAATAAAAAATTTTATCAGACCATATAGGAAGGCCCACATTAACAACATGGGAAAAAGCTACAAAAAAAAAAAGCTATGAGAAGAAGAAATTTAAAATACCAAAGATGAGATTAGTGAGTCTGCATCTGCAACATCCCGAATATAGTGCACACCAGGAAGGCTTCCTCCGATTTTCTCTGGAAATCTGAAATAAATACACTAAAGAAATCAGGGTCTCCTTTTCTCTTCTTTCACTGTTTCACTAATTCATGCGTATAAATATAATCTAGGACAATTAAAATGGGAGGCTAATACAAACTGATAAGCAGACCTTGAGGCTGTACATCCTGTAGCAATTATAAGAGATCCGTACTTCAGCAATTTGCCCGAATTTGTGGTTAGAGTTTGCTTTTCTGTATCAATAATCGTTATTGGATCCTCATAAATCATCTAATCATACAAGAGAAGAAGGGGAAAAGGTTAGAAACAGCATTCTATAAAGTATCAGCAGCCCTTCATAATCAGAGACTTAAACTAGGATAAAGCTTCTTCAAGTTTTTCTTACAGACACTACGTAAGCAAACATATTTTGTTTCTTAGCTTCCAATGTAATTAATTTGCAATTAAAGTTCCTAGAAAAGGGCCAGAAACAAAGACTCTAAAACAGGAGGACATAACACATGGTTTATGAAATTAAAACTCACAAAAGATAAATACCAAAAGCAGTAAGAAGAAATACCTCAATCCCTTTTTCTTTATACCATTCAGGAGTTTGCCTTTCACCACCAGATCCAACGCAAGTATGAAAACCCTACGATGGTTCAAACTGAAACTGTTAAAACAGTGCATAACATAATACAAGAATGAAAACATAGAAGCCCACAGAAAACTACCCAAAAAAGATTTGAAGTTCTAATTATTGAGAACATGAACTTGCAACATATTTCCAATTAAAAATCACATAAACACAGCAAAATACAACGAATTTTGAAACATAAAATACACTCACCAATGACCCAATGTACAAAATAAGGACTTAATTAGTCACAATTCTTAACAAGCACTAAATAGCATAATTCAATTATAGATTGACAAAAAGAAATGTATCCATATAAAGCTGAAGATTCTTACAGGTAACCGAGCTGGTTTCTTGTCTAGAGGAAACAAGTAGCCTTTTGTCAAAGCCGGTCTCTCATATGGTGCATATGCCTGCAAAATATTCACAGCATCAAACCGAAAACTCAAAATTCAAAACCACTAAATAGTAAAATAATCATTAAAAATGCAAAATAGGATATATAATTCACCTCTTTGGATACAATACAGAGCCTGCCATCGGCCATCCCGTGTTCGACGAAACTCCTAGCTGCATATCCAGCAGCATTGCCCCCTCCAACAATCACAAATCTATCAGATATGGAAAAAAATGAATCAAGTTATATAAACATGAAATTATAAATCAAATAGGAAAATAAAGAAGAAAAGTTTGATTGAGAAAAACAGACTCTCTATTGTCGTTAGAAAACGAAGAGGAGGCAACGACGAAGTTTCTATGGAAGCTTCCGAATCGCATGGAAGAGGAAGGGTGAGGACGAGTCAAAGAAGAAGAGCGAGGGCACCAGAGAGCGAGTCCGCGCTTAAGCTGAAGCGAGTTGGATAAGCTCGCCATTGCTTTCCGAACTGTAAAAAAAAAAAAAAATGAAAGGCAGAAATCTTTAGAATATATGAATTTTAACAAATATGATGAGCAATAGCAGTAGCAGTTTTTTGTGGAGAATGGACCTGTGGACATGTATCTGAAGATGTTCTGCAGCGAGTGAAAAATGAATAATTTATTGAGAAGGCTTTGGCTTTGGCTCTAGAAGAGGGCCAAGGGGCAAAAATATGACTATTTGGAAACCCTTCAGGCTTTATGGTACGGCACGGCGCCAAATGATCTTTGACAAAAGGGCAAAATCTGTTCCCCTAGGTTCAGAGAAGTGTGGGCAGTTTGCCTAGTCTATCGGTATTTCGCCAGCCGAATTCTGTTCTTTACTTTTTTGGGAAGCAAGAATCCTGACACGACGTCGTCTGTTTCCGCGAGTCAATGCCAATAATTATCTATTCTGCTTTTATGTATTATTAGGTGGGGAAAGGAAAAAAAAATTGAAAATCGTAGTTTTTGAATTAGTTTGAATGAAAATTTTTTTATTTGATTTGAATTATATTTTAATATTTAATATATATATTAAATTTAGATAGAATTGAAATGTAAAAAATAAAAAAAAATTAATCGAATTAAATTATATTTTTATTAATATATATAAATATTTAAAATTTTTATAAAATAAAAATAATTATGTTATATATAAATATGTTTAAATATATTAAATTTTTTATTAAAATAATATATAAAAAATCAAAAAATAAATTTTAAAAACCAATAAATCAAATCAAACCAAATTAATAAAATTTAATTTTGATCGAATTTTAAAAATTTATAATATTATATATTATCAAAAAAATTTAAACCGAATTTAATCTCATCCAAAAAGTTATCATACCTAATTATGAGAGAGGTGCCGTGCATTTTTGTTGGTGTCTAATAATTTGTATATTTTTATCTTATAAAATAACAAAAATTCATGTATTTATATTATGTTTATATAAAAATTAAGTATCATAATTTGTACCCAAAATAAAAATATAAAATACATTTTTTGTTTATGTTAAATCCACATAATTTTTACTAAAATTTTAACTTTTGTTATTTTATTTTTTTCGTATCATTTTTATATTATAATATTGTGGCGTGTTTTAAATTGTTTAATATAATTGTGGATTTTTTTTTTGCAAAAAATATCAAATGAAAAAGGAAAAACAAATAGAGATGAAACATGTATATTTTAATTGGTCCATTTTGCTAGAAAAAATAATCTAAAAACAATGAAAAAAAAAAGATAAATCAAAAAACTAAAAAATAATTAAAAAGGAGCAAGATAAGGGGTGTTTTATGGACATCTAATATTGAACTTAAAAATAAAAATTCTTAAATTAAGGGTAAAAAATTTTACTTTAATAACATAACATATATATATGTATAAAACTAAATAAATAATAATATATATTTTTATATAAGCTAAGCTGGAATAAAACACCATATATATGCTTACGATTTTTACAAAACTTTATCTGTCTTAATTAAATTTTAATTTTTAAAAATCACTCATTTTATCAAACTGAAATTGATTAGAATACGAATTATTTTAACATATTTATTAATTGACACATTATGTTGTAAATTTTATCTTATTAAAATTTTAATATTTATGTGGTATTTATTATTTATGTATATATATATATTTTTTATCTTTTTTATTTTATCATTTTTGTATTTTTACTTATCTAATTATATATCTGATATATTTTTTTATTATTATTTATCCTATAATATCTGCTGATTTATCTTCTCTAATTATCTAGTTTTTTTTTTTTTTTATATTTGATTTTGATTTTTGGAGGACTAAGATTGAAGGCTGAAGAATCCCATTGGAAATGGGAATTCAATCAGAAGAGGTCCAGTGGATTCAAAGATTGAATTCCCGTCCAAGGAGGAATTGGGATTGATCAGGAACTCCTGATCAATCCCTATAAAAGGGACTCTGGAACAGAATGCAAGACACACAGAAAACAGTAAGCAAAGCTACTGATTTGAGAGAAAAGGAGCGTATAGAAAGCTAGGAAAAGTTTAGGAGTGTTCTGGGAGTGAGAAAAATTTTTAGAGATTTTGGCGAAAAATTTCTCTGGAAATTTTTGGGAAATTTTTCAGATCCGACGAAATTTTGATTTCGGCAACAATGTCCGGCGAACATTTGAAGTTTTCCCGCGATCACCAGTCCAGTTCCGACGAAGAATCCCAGGAAACCGGCGATTCTCCGGCCAACTTTCGGAAGGAAATTTTCCAGTTCCGGCGAAAAATTCCAGAATCCGGCATCGGTGTCTTCAGTTTCTAGAGAGTAAGGGAGAGAAAAAGGAAGAAGAGAGAGAGAGGGGGAGGAGCGTTCTGCCGAAAAATGGAGGAAGGTGCCTTTTATACCCTCCCAAAACGACGTCGTTTTGGGCTTTAAGTTAACCAGAGGATCCGCGCATTTTGTCTAACCCGACCCGACCCGGGCGTCGACCCGCTTTCTGACCCGCGCGTGCCAGCCCCTCCGAGCCGAGCCGAGCCAAGCCAAGCCACCAAGCCGCTCCCCCGAGCCGTTTTCTCTTCCTTGAGTCGAGTCGAGCCGAGCCGCGATCCGAGCCGCTCCAGGTTTTTTTTTTTTTTTCTCTTTGAATTTTTTTTATTTCTTTGTTTATTTGTTTATTTTATTTTTTTTATTAGATTAGGTTTATGTAATATTCTTTTTATTTATTTTTTATTTTCTTTAAATAAAAATAAAAAATTCCAAAAAAAAATATTTTTAGGGAAAAGTTGAAAGTATCAATTTTCCTTAGAAATAAATTTCCAAAAAATATTTTTGGGGAAGAGTTGAAAGTATCAATTTTCCTTGAAAATCAAAATTTCAAAAAAATATTTTTTTGGGAAAAGTTGAAAGTATCAATTTTCCCTAAAAAAAAATCATTCTTTCCTTCCTTTCTATCTTAATTTTGATTTTGTTTTTTTTTCTTTAAATAATCCGACGACGGAGCCTCTGCAAGTGAAACAGTAGTTCTTTCTTGCATACTCCTGAGGTGAGGGAATTTTTTCAATTTTCTGCTAAAAGTATTAGAGTCAATTGAGAATAATTTCCAACAACTAATTACTTGGTAAAATTTTAAGGCTTTTTGGATAACACAAGTTTAAGCTGGTACCATCTTTTGATGGGCGTTGTGATGGTGCTATAACCTTCCTCACACGTAACCGAACTCCCGAACCTTGTTCTGGTTAGCAGACCTGAACCTATTCTTTTAGGGACCCTTAAACTTAGGTGTTCCCTGAAAGGACAGATTCCTTAGGTGGCCGATCGCACCTAGATAAAAAAGATTGGTTGGCGATAAGAAACGAATATAAAAAAACTCAAATGAATGTCACATGGACATATCCATAGATTTTTTTTATAAAATTATTTATATTAAAAAGATAAAAATAGAAAAAGAAAAAATATAGAAAAATGTGAAAGTAAAAAAAAAAAAAATAAAGCTTGTTGAAGTATAATTGAGTGGGGTGTGGGGATTTATCAGATATATTATTTTGCCATTGCTATAAAGTAACTTATTTTATTATAAAATTTTTTTGATAAAAAAACAAAGCAAATTGGAACTTTATGTGGACACCTATATTGCTTTTTTCACAAAATTTATTTAAACAAAAAAGTAAGAAATCTGTAAAAAGTAAAAAGAAAGAATGGAAAAAACAAAAAAAAAAAGATATTTTGAGACTTCGAATGAGCATAAAAAAAATAATTAAATTTATATAATAGATGCTTAGATTAAATAAAATATTATATTATATTTTTAAAATATTAAATATTTTTTAAAAAGAAAAAATGCAAAAGTAAATAAAAAAGAAGCAAAAGTGAAAAAAAAAAAAAGCCAAATGACTTAACACATAAATACTCTTGATATCAAACAGGACAAAATAACTAAAAAAACATTTATTAAATATAAAAAAGGAAAATAAATTAAAATGGAAAAAAGTGACATTCTATTGATACAAACCAGGTTTAAAAATATTAAATCAGAAAATTTTTCATTAAATACTTTTTAAAAAGAAAAAAATTAAAAAGGGTAAAAAGAAAAAGCAAAAAAGATTTTAATTTAAGTGGATTCCACACATAAAAAATAAAACTTAAGAAATATAAATTTATAATTTAAAAAATATTATTAAATAGTTTTAAATAAACGGACAAAGTTAAAAGGATAACAAAGAGAAGCAAAAAAAAAAAAATGATATAAGTGGATTCCATGTATAAAAAATAAAATCTTTAAAAAGTTATTTTTATAATTTTAGAAAATATTTATTAAATATTTAAAAAAAGAAAAAAGTTAAAAAAATATAAAAAAGGAAAAACAAAAAAAAAGATTGGTGTAAATAAATCACATACATAAAAAATAATTTTTTTATAATTTTAAAAAATTAAAGAAAATCTTTATTGAGTATTTTTAAAAAAGAAACAAAGTTAAGAAGGGTAAAAAAAAGCTAAAAAAAAAAATTGTATAAGTGTTGTCTCACAAATGAAAAATAAATAATTTTTTAATTTAAAAAAATTATTAAATATCTGTTTACAAAAGGAAAGAATGGTAAAAAATTAAAAAAAAAAAAAGTTAGCACAAGTGAGTTTCATATATAAAAAAGAAAATCTTTAAAAATGTATGTGATTTATAATTTTTTTCAAAATTATTAAAATTTTTTTTAAATTAGAAATGGAAAAAACACAAAAAAAAAATTATATAAGTAGATTTCACACATAAAATTTTAAATTTTTAAAAAATATTTTTTATAATTTAAAAATATTAAAAAAGAAAATTAAGGACTGACACGTGGCAGGTAGGAATATTAGTAAAATTTATATATTAGATTATTTTGTGGGCCAGGAAAAAGAAAGTTTCATTCCACTAAAGCATCAGTATCGCATGAAAAAGGACGAATTTGAACATGTGTACAGTTGTTAACAACTTAATACAGTATGCTCCCTTCTGGCACCGGCAATAAGACATTATTGGAGTGAATATTGAAGCTAAGAGACTTTGATGGCACTGGTTCCATTTAGATACTCTAACAAAGTTGTTCAATAACCACGAAAACATGGGAATCTGAACAGTAAAATGACAACCAACCAAACATGTCCTAATCTTCAATTTATGGACTGGACAAATCTGTTTTTAGAAGAAGTTAAAAGCAGACACAGATTCTATAGATTCCATCGTACCTTGCAAGTTATAATTTAACAATAGTCAAATAAACAACTGTTACTATCCTCCATCGGCAACCTTGTCTAAGGTTTTGTTTTCTTCTGTTTAAATGGTTCGCTATGTCCAACTGGAACTCTAGCTAATGAATATCAGATTTTTATATTTATCTATAATAACATCCAATCAGTTAATTGCCTTAGCCTACTCTCCTTCCAGGTTCCAAGTAGACAACTTTGGAGGTCTGCTTAACGTGCTAACGCAGCCAGCCAAAGAAACATAACATTTCCAATAAGAAATCTGAGACAATATTTGATTGATTGACAGACACGAATGTTAATCCAACATATATTTACTTTCTGCAAAGAGAGAAACTCTCAGTTTCTCCTTCAGATACAAAATGTTATACGTAGTTTGAGTATTTACAATGTCCCAGAAAAGCAAGCTTCTGTACTCAAATAACAGTTAACATATTAAACAAAGGGCCAAAGCTAAAAAAAAAGTGAAAAAAAAAAAGGGAACATTTCACACAGGAAATGCTTGCCTCACCACAACCTTTAAATTAAAAAAAAAAAAAAAGGAAAAACCCCAGATCTTGCAGGTTCATCTGTCCCTATTTTCCATGGCCAACATAGACAGGACACCCGTGAAGAAACCTGAACCTATATGAAGATCAAGCCATTACCTCAAAGAGTTGTAAACTTGAAGGCCCTGTCTGGACCAAGACGAATTGACAAATATGCCCAACATAGTTACACGAGTGGCGCAGATGATTTCCCACCTTGGTCCAACGCATCAAGAATCTCAGTTCTGCTTCTTACAATCCTATGAAACACTTCCCTAATCTGCATCTGCAAAGGCACCAATCCTTCTTCCATTCTCCGACACGTCTCCGCTAATTCCGCCACCTGTGCAGCCGCTTCGTCGACTTTCTCTGTCTCTCCAGGAAACTGAAAAGAATCTGTAAACTCTATCAAACTCTGTCCGAGTTTCTCCATTTTCTGCATCTCCTCTAACAACCCAGCCATCCCTTTCTTCTCCTTCTTCTTCCATTCATCACCAATTTTCTCTTGTAACCCAATCATGCTATGGGCCCAGCTCAATTGCTTCGGAACCGGAAAATGAGTAGCCAAACCGCTCCTCTCTTGACAAGGTATCGCAGCTACCAATGCCCACATAACAAAAACCATAATCACGCTCATTATATAAACCGGGCTGGCCAAACCGGAAGCCTCTGCTCCACGAGGCGCAGCGAGATTGGTAGTCATGGCCTGAATCTGTTTCGCGGCTGACCAATTCTTGGCCACCTGCCAAGACAGTGACCTCAAATGATCCGGCGCTCGATCTTTATTAACACCTCGGCGACCGAAAGACCAGCTCCTCTCCGTCGTTTTAGTATTGGCGCCTTCCTTATCGTCAAGGTTCATTGCTGACGTCAGCGAAGCGAAGGCCTTTTTAGCTCTCCTTGCTTGTCCGTCTCCGATGGGGTTTTGGTCCAAAGCGGAAACAGCAATCTCCGCCAGTTTTTGGCAATGTCTAATGGACTCCAACCCATTAGTAACCGCATTACAAAGGTCTAAAGCCTTCACGGCCCGGTCTAGAAGTTCAGGAATCAGGCGATCGAGAGGGGGTTTAGAGATCTGAGACAGGTCACGGCCCATCATGAGAATAGCCTTGAATTCTGCTTCACAGCAAAGAAACACATCGAGGAGTTTGCGTAGCCAGGAAATTGAGAGAAGGGCATCAACAGGGACGTCATCGGGGGGAGATAAGAGTTCGGTGAAGCGATCAGAAACGTGTTTTTGGAAGAGCTCAAGGTCTTCAAGCTCCTGCTCTTGGTTACCATCCATGGCGATAACTTGGTTTCGCCTGATGCTGATTCGCCCCAAGAAGGAGCCTTGGTACTCGGTTGCCGGCATTTCTGTTGATATATTTTTTGGGAATCCGTGGAGAGAAAGAAACACAATGAAAAGATGAAACAGGGGTGTGTTTTAGGACACGAAGGAAGGAGGGTAAAGGAGTTATATACGGGAGCTGAATTGATGGAAACGGATTGTTGGGTACGAGACCTGTTCTCCTTCCTCCTTTGGGACGCTGACTGGGCACGCCCCAGTGGTCTTTATTTTTGTTCCCGACTGTGCCCCCCATTTCTTGCAAAATTTTCATCTAATATAGCATATAAATATTTTCTTTTAAGGGGTGTATTTCTCTCAATTTCTTTATCTGAAAAAATTGCTACCAAATTACCAATTTAAAGACCTTTAAGATACTATGATTTTTATATTGAACTCTGATAATTCGGGTTTAATGTTCTTCAATACCCTCGTTTTTTTAATAGGTTAAATCTGGAATTAGATTTTTCTTAACGCAAACTCCATTTTTTTATATATTATTGTTCATAATGTTTTTTGTAAAAATATCAATGAATAAGATATGAGATTGGTATAATATCTTTTATTTTTATTTATTAATTTTTATATTATATTTATTTTTATACCCATATTTAATGGATATTTTAATTTAATCTCATACCATCTTCATAATTATTTAATAGGTATGAATAAATTTTATACCTAAAATTCAAAAAAAAATAACAAGATTTTATTTTTAATTTTTTTATTTTATCTTACATATTTATGTAATTTTTTATAAATATATATTAATTTATGTTTTCAAATAAAAATATATTATTTAATTAATCTAAAATAATAATTTATATTATTAATAAAAAATCTATTTACTAAACATATATAATATATGAATACAGGACAAGTGATATATTATTTGTCTATATCTTTTAATTAATATAAATTTAAAATCATACACATCCTCGTAATGTAATTTTTATTTTTATTTTCATTTGAGTAAAAAATTAAATTTTTTATTAAGTATTAATAAGATTAATATCTCTATTTATTTTAGTAAAAATCATTTAATATATATATATATATATTGAGTTATTAACTTCAAATTTTGGAATAGAAATGATCACATTTACCAACATTGAAAATTTTAAATTTTATTGTTAAAATTAGAAAAATTATACATACTATAAGGTATAGTAAAAAATTAAAAATATACCTGAAAAATAATATATATGATAATTTTTTAATTTCATTTGTAAAATTAAAATATTATACTATGAGTATATCAAAAATGAAATCAAACCTTTTATCACTACTCTTTAGTTGCTTACATTTCTCTTATGCATTAATTAACCTTCTTTAATTCCATACTTAATATATTAAGATTGAGATTTTCAATTTCCACAACAGCAAATTGTCTTTACTTATGTCCACTTCTCTCACGAGTAATAAGTTTTAAAATTATTTATAAGTGTGGTTTATATTGAATTATATATAATTTAATATAAAATTACACTTATAAATAATATAACTTTTTATAATTTTTTATTGTAAATAAATAATTTTAAGATTGTAATAGAAAAATTATAAGTGAAATATTTTCAGTACAACACTAAAATAAATAAATTAAAAGAATAGAATTAAAACAAACAAAATAGAATAATCGTGGCAATTTAGTAGATTTAGTTGGGAAAGAAGGGCCATAATTTGAAGGGAGTTGCTGATTCAGTGACAGATGGAGCTAGTTGATCTTGGCGTAGGACGCGTAGGACTGTGCCAGATGGACGAAGTCCAGGCCCAAAGCCTGGTCTCCCATTCGAAACTCGAATGCCTACAACAAAAAATTTAAATATAAAAAAAAAGAAAAAAGAAAAAAGCAGGACCCTTTGACGAGGTCATTTCATGATGGGGCCCGCTCTTTTTTTTCCCTCTTTAATTCCCTACTACGCGTCCGCACGATGACTCTCACGAAAAACTCTTTGCCTACCGTCCACCTCAGCTATCCGTATCTTACTGTATCTTATAGTTGACGTGGTGAGCCCCGGAAGAAGGGGGCTTCGCTGGCAATTTAGACGGCGTGGATTTTCTCTAGATTTAATGTGTCATGATTTAGGCCAATGATTTAAAGTATATGGGGCATTATTCTTTTGGTGGCCCAAAAATCAATTTCAGTTAATAGTCCTCGTTCGGACTTTCTTGCTAATAATTTAACTTAATTAAACGTCACGAATTATTATGAGAGTACAAAATTTTGCAAGATAATTTACTTATGTCGGTCTAAATTTATTTTATATTTACATTTATATTTTTATTAATTTTAATTTATAGATTTTATGTTTTATTTATGTAAATCATGTCAAATTTTAAATTGATTAAAATTACATAATTTTTTTATAATATAAAATTTCAAATATTAAATATATTGTAAAATAAAAAATGTTATATGTTAATGTAATATATATCACGTTGACTTAAAAATTTACATACGACACAATAAATATAAAGATATTATTAAATCTAAAATTTGATTTTTTAAAATATTACTCTTACAAAAAATTATAAACAAATTTTTTAATGATATAACTCAATCATTAAAAAAAAAACTTTTTTAAATATATAATAAGAGGATAATAATTATTAATTATCCCCAACATACTTCATCCAACTCATTATCATATATATGTGAGGTTTCAAACTATTAAAACAAAAACCATAGTCTTTCTTAGGCCTCGTTCTTTCCTTCCCAAAATAAAATATTAGCAATTTATAATGTTATTAACTCCTTTTAGAAGTAATTGGTTTGTGCAGTCCGACCCAAAATGTTATTAACTATTTTTTTTAGAAATAATTAATATGTGTAACCTACACTTTGCGTCGGATGCTGTAATTTATTTATTTAGAATTAGAGTCATTAGCTTTCTTTTTGAAGTAATTAATATGTGCAACCCACATTTCGCGTCGGATGTTGGAATATAATTATATGGAGTTGATGTCCAAACTTTGCTGCGAGATAATTTTATTGAATTAATCCAAATCATTGCCTTCTAGAAATTTAGAATAAAATGATTAAAAGGTATAAAAAATTTTGAATTATAATTAAAAAATTATTTAAATGTTTATTTTTTATTACAATTAATCAATCATTTTAATTTTTAATTGCATCTACTTAAATTTTTTATTTGGATGAAAAAATTAATATTATTATTGTTTCCAATTAAAAAAAATTCATATAATATTAATAAAATAGATAAAAATTTATCATGTTACGTAATTAATATATATAAAATTTAAATAAAATAAAATATTTCTTTATTTTCTCTTTCTCTTTCTTTTTTAAGTCTCGCTTAAGGTTGATTGTAGTTTAGAAATTACTTGATTAAATTTTTTCATATAATTAGGTTTTGTTCAACAAAAAATTCAATTAAATCAAATTAAAAATTAAAAATTTGATTAATTATAATAAAATATTAAATATTTAAATAATTATTAATTTATAATTTAAAAGTGTTTTTATCCTTTAAACCATAAAATATATATCTATTTCAATAAAATACACGTACCACCTATCACCCATCGGGCAACTACTTTTCAAATTAAAAATGATGAGATTCAGCCGGCCTAGCATCCTCCATATTACCATAGAATAATCAGACGATGACAACACTTTGATGATAGAGATTAGAGAGTTGATTTTTTATTCATGAGATTAATTAATCAATAATCATGGAAAGAAATGAGGAATAATTAAGATGGTTATAGGAAATCACTAAGACATGAGAAAACTTTTTTTTTAATTGTATGAAATAGTTATGTTATATTAATATATATAACTGTCAACTTAAATTATGCCTAATAATTATAACATTATAAAAAATTATTTATTACACATTATATGTGATAATTAAATAATAAATTTTAATTTTAATAAATAATTTATTTTTTCAATGATATAATAATATAATATTATTTGAATAAAAATAATATATGTTGACATATTTTAACTATTTTAATCTTTATCCTCAAAAAAAAAAAACCATTAATTTTGATATTTTGGTCCATTGATAATGTTAATCTAAAACTTTATTAGAATATTATTATTACATAAACAACTTTTCCCCGTCCTCCAGCTAAAAGAAACAAATAAACAAAGAAGAAGTTATTGCCCGATCCTTTTTCTATATATATATATATATATATAATAGACGAGTTGATGATGAATAGTTAGCATTTTGCATCTGCAACAAAAAAGTTTTGTTAGTTTTCCGTTAATCTTACAAAAGCGAGATAACTATCAACTACACCACTAGGCACTACTATAATATTTTTATATTTAGCAAATTACGTCATCATTTGAATATTAAAATTTATTTTTCATATATAACAATTTGAACAAATTTAATCAGATATAAAAATGTTAATCCAAAATATAATTAAGTTATAAAATTACTGTTAAGTAGTTGATGTTACGTTTTTTTAGCCCACGACATTTATATATTAAAAAAACCACATCATCAATCTACATGATTGAAAAATTCGTCAACAATTTAATTTTGATTTTGTAACTCCATTATATTTTGGATTGATATTTTATTCCTAGATAGATACAAAGATTAAATTTATTTAAATTATTAGATACGAATTAAATTTTAATTTTTTATCTGAATACATAAACTGTTTTTATAATTTAATTTTTTATCATAAAAGAAACTTTTAACAGATTAAATTAACTCCATTCTCATTTAAAAAAAAAAAAAAAAGAAGCCTTTGAAGACTATTAGCCTTCAAAATTTTATTTATTTATGTTATATTAATTATAAAAATTTTTATGTAAATATCATCTTAACTGTTATCAATGGAAATGATTAACCACATGCCAACCACTCATTTTAATAATTTTTTATAAAACAGAACAGAACAAACGCGTTTTCTAGGAACATCTTCAATTAGTCTAAATAATATTGTGGAATTCACCAACCCTTTTTAGTCCTAAGCTCATCATCAACAATATTATAATATATATATATATATATATGTATATATTAAGCTTTGGATAGGACATGGTGACAACAAAAAACTGTGGCACACACAAGACAAGAGTCCCAAATTCCATAAACTGGTGGGAGTCAAAGTGCCAATTGATCTTTGAAGCAGAGAGGTTTCGACTCACCCGACTTTAACTTGGGTGATCATTTCATGTGACTGTTCTGGTTTTGTATCAAATTAACACCTTTTCGTCGATTGATTTTTAGATCAATTGATATGATATTAAAATTGATATTTACAAGTGAGTTTAAAAGAATTTATATATATAGAATATTTTTTCAATCATGATA